AACGAGCGCTGGCACGCGAATGAGTTCCTGGAGCGCCGTGCGACGCCGTCTGTCGACGCCTTCATCGTCCAGCAGACTGGATGCCAGCAGGTGCGGAACCTGGGCCACGCGATGGGGTTGGTGAATCTGTGCATCGAGACGCACCGGCGGAGCCCTGGAGGGCGCGCGAACGCCATGCGCGGCGAGGCGCAGAGCAGCAACCAGGGGGCCTGCGACAGCCGCGGAGCACAGGAGGCACCACCAGCCTTCCCTACTGCGTCCGTTCCTGCCGACGAGGGTGGTTTCATGTCTGCGGCCATCCAGCAGGAGAGGGACCGCGTCGCGGCCATGTCGAACCAGGCCGACGCTGCCCAGATGGCCGGCCGTGGGGCGGAGCAGGAGGGGCAGGACAGCGCGGAGGTAAAGGCCCCATAAAGTGCCCAGCCAAGCCCAAGACGCAGGTCTGCAACTCGGGACCGCGGTGCGCAGACTGTGGCTGCCACCACCCAGACGCGAAGAAGTGCCCGAACGACCTTGCACGAAGTGACCCCCGGATCACTAGCGAGTCCAAAGCGGGGCCCAACAGCGCGTGCGGACGCCTCGTCTACGGCAAGTACAGGTGCGACAGCGCAAAGCATTCGGCGCGACACCGCGCGCAGAGGCACCAGGAGGAGCACGGGCGGCCTCCGCCGCAGCGCCAGGTGAAGTCTTGCAGCGCCGAAGGCGGCGAGGACCCCTGGCAACAGCAGGGCCCTTGGCAGCGGCAAGACCCCCGGCAGCAGCAGGAACCGCCACCGGCGGGAGAACCAGCAGGGCCGCCGAGCCAACAGCAGCAGGCGCAGCCACAGCAGGAGCCCTCAGGGCAGGCGGCGGCGGCGGCAGCAGCTCGGGCAGGCTACGCGCCGGCCGGGCCCTGGCCAGAGACGCGGGCCCCGCCGCAGGGGCCAGCGGCATCTTCAGCTGCAGCCAACGCGGCGCCGTCGTGGCCCGCGCGGCGGGCCCCGGCCGCAGGCGCCTGCGCTCCGCCACCGGCGCCTCCGACAGTGCCAGTCATGATGACACCCGAGCAGCACCGTGCTTGGCAGTGGTCTCAGCAGGGGCTGGCATCGTCCACCGGAGGTGGGGCCATGCGCAGTGCTGTTGGCGTCGAAAGGCGCCTTCCAGGAGGTGGCCTCCGGCGGATGTCTTGCGCGCGCGTGCTCAGCGCGCAGCAGTGGCGCACCTACTACCCAGCCGCCCACGACTCGGACTACGAGGACAGCGAGTTCGACCCAGAGATCTTCACGCCAGAGTATGACAAGGACCGGGAGCAGACCGGATCTTTGATACATTCTTTCTGTGATGAGGTCTGTTTGAACGAGATGGCTACAGAGCCAGGTCCACGACCTCCACAGCTGCCCGGCAGCGCGGTTACAGAGCCAGGTCCACAACCTCCGCAGCTGCCCGGCAGCCCGGCTACAGAGCCAGGTCCACGACTTCCAGAGCTGCCCGGCAGCCCGGCGACAGAGCCATGTGCACGACCACCAGAGCTGCCCGGCAGCACGGTGACTGAGCCAACGGCGACTGAGCCCGCACGATCGTTTGTCGCACCAGTGGCTGCAGTTCTCCCAGGGGGAGAGAGAGAGCCACACTTTGTTGCCACCACCTTGTTCTGCATGTTTTTGTTGCTGTCGTCATGCTGGTGTTCATCATGTACAGCATCATCTCGTTCTTTACCTCTACTTCTACAGCTACTACGTCTACCAGCACGGCTACCACCACTACCAGTACAGTGGCTGGATCAAGCACCCGCGTCAACGGGGCGATCCAGGCGGACTGGGAGGACGAGCTCATCATGGACAACCGGACCAACCTCTACGCGGATACCGGCTTGGAGTCTCAACGCGGAGGCGCTGGGGTTAGTTGATTGGCATGCGGGTGCGCAGTGGTTGTGTGCCAAGTACAGACTCCAATTGGGGGCACCATCCTTATAGGCGAAGCCTTGCAGCACCTTGGAGTCGACATCCGTCCCGACGGGAATGTGAGTCGCGAGAGCCACCGCAAGATCGGCCACGCTTGGGGGGAGTTCTGCAAGCTCAATATCTTCTGGAAGCGAACGGAGCTGCCGCTTCCCCGGAAAGTGGAAGTCCTTGAAGCAGTCATCATGAGCCGTTTCTTGTATGGGCTGAGCTCCGCGTGGCTGCGGGCAGCAGACGTTCGCCGAGTCGACGGCTTCTATTGCCGACGTTTGCGCGTCATTTTACGAATAAAATTATCATTGATTTCGCGACTTTCAAACAAGACAGCGTTGGAGAAGGCAGGCCGGGTACACGTTTCACGCAGACTACTGCAACAACAACTGCTATGATATGGAAGAGATGAGTGGTGCGTGCGTTGGAGGGGGACGAATTGAAGAAGCGCGCTTTCATCCCTGGAACGCACGTTTTGGCAGCGGAGAGATTCGTGAAGAAGGTTGGTCGCCCGAGAAACGAATGGGTTAGTCAAGTCGCCAAACGCGCTGCTGTGATCGGAGAGAATATCCATTGCGACTCCGATTGGCGGGCCGGCGCGAGCCGGCATTGCATGTCCTAGTTGCGTCTACGCGCTTTTCGGCGTACGACTTGTGAGTGAGATCAGCATTGCAATGGTGGGAACTGGTTCGCGGCCAACTGCAGCGGTTGTGATTCCGACGCCAGCTGCGATCTTACGCGCCGTCGCCGAGAGGCTGCTGGAGACGGGCTCAGTGATGGAGGTGACGGGTATCCCTTTGGAGAGTCTCTTCTTCCGGCTCCGCGCCGGATTCCGGTCCACCTCGGGCCATTATAGAGGTCCGCGCTCTTGTGGATAGCGGCAGCGATTTGGGCGCCATCGACAAAGATCTGTCTTGGTTGCAGCGCCAGAGCGGGGGCCATTCGTTCCGCGAGCGCCGGGCGATCGACAAGGAGGAAATCGGTGGCTTCACGAACGACATAGTGAAGGTCACGGAGTGCGAGAGCGACTGGGCGGCGACGGTCAAGGGGCGCAAGACGGAGGGCGGGAAGCCAGACATGCTGGATCTGCTCATCACGTTCAACGAGTTTTCTGTCTTAGGTGACCCGTTCATCTTCGGCATGCCGAGTATCGAGTCCGACTTCGGCTGCGATATTCGCCGTTCTTGCGTGCACCTGTTCGGCCGTTTCCTGGGCCGAGTCTTTCCACCGCAGCGGTCTGGCCGACGCGAGGCCATTGCTTCTTTGCGTTCGCGCGTTTCGAGCGGGCGCGCAGGGCCTGGCGGGCGCGCCGGGCCGACGAGTGCATCCAGGCCGTTACCGCCAATCGACATGTCGGACACCGGTTGGGCGGGGGTCGCCGTCGCCCTTGACGGGGCCGAGGTGGAAGCGCAGGGCATGCACGGGCAATTGTGGTGCGAAGGAATTGATGACGAGGCTCACGCGTTGAACTGTCCGGTCCTTCCTATCAGTTTCAGTGGGGAACTTGGTGCGACGATTATGGCAATGAACAAATTTCATGGCAAGACGACATTGGCGCCCGTGCCCGGAAGATTTGCGTGCAGATTGCGACGGATGGAGACGAAGAGCTGGAAGTAATGGCAAATATGGAACACCGGTTGGAACTAGCTTCCATCCTGGGGGACTACGACGCTCTACCCTTGGACAGGCGACGGGCCGCAACTGCCAAGTACAAGGCAAAACTGCGGACCGACGAGGCGAAACATTTCGGCGAGCTTACGGCCGAGATCGAGACCGAGAGGGGGAAGTTCGACGCGCCCGAGTACGACCAGACCTCTGGCGAGCATCGGGATCTTCATTGCCAGATTGTCCGCGACAAGAAGCTGGCCCCAGACAAGCTCTTGGATGCGATCTGCGAGCGCGTGATTAGGCCTGCGTCTGATTGCCCATGGACAGAAGGCGCCCCCACGCCCAAAATCCGCGGGCACCAGGCCCACGTCGAGATGAAGCCGGGAGCTATGGGCAAGGCAAACGCACGCGATGTCCAAGTCCAACGAGGCCCGCATTTCGCACCACATCGAGGAGCACATCAAAGACGGCAAGCTCTGCGAGCGGACCCGTGATGACCCTATGCCGCCTATGGTGACACCAGTTTTCAGGGTTGAACGGCTGGGTTCTTTACTTGGGCGTATGATTGGTGATCGCACGTGCTACAACAAGGCCGCAGAGGACGTCTTTTGGCCAGCTCCAGACGCGGAGTCGGTGCTCCAGCGCGCCATGGGCAAGGGATACCACGCGACTCTCGATTGCGTTTGGGGGCACAGTGGCGTTGAAAACGACTCAGAGACAGCTCTGGGGCAGACAATCATCGCCATTGCGGCATGTGCATCTTTTGCCGCCTTCAGTTAGGGCCGAAGCAGGCGCCGGCCATCTACCAGCACATCCAAGAGAGCACAATCGGATCGGAGTACAAACCTACAAGCGAGAAGCTGGCAGACGTCTTCTTCGACGACACGCGCGTCTCCGATTGGACTTTGGAGGGGCATATTTCGTCGATGCTTCGACTCTTCGCACGAGCACGAGAGAACGGCATGCAATACCGACTGGACAAGCGTCGATTTGGATTCACCGAGACGTTTGTCATAGGTTTTATTGTTGGTGAGAACGGTCGTCGCGTTGACCCTGCCAAAGTTGACCAATTACGGGCGTGGCCTGAGTGCCGGAATGGCAGCGACATTATCTCTAACCTTGCATTTTGTCAGTACCTGCGAGAGTACCTGCGAGAGTTCCCAGAGAAATGCAAGCAAAGAGGGTGCAGATTCCACGGGCTACGCCGCGGACGCGGAGGCCCAGGCAGCCAGAGCGCGGTTAATCGAGACGCTGCTCGAGCAGGTCGTTTTGGTCACGCCCAGCAGCGCGGCCCTACGAGAGCGGCAGACCATTCGAGTTGCATTTGGACGCAAGGGATGTCGCGCGGGCCGCTGTTCTGTGTCAGCGTGACTCGCCCGGCGGCGCGCCGCGAGTTATCGGGGTGGTCGCTCGTTCGTTCGAGGGCGCGGCCACGAGGTGGTCAGCTTTTGAGCAACGTGGAAGGAGGGCGTCGCCGCGACGTCAAAGTGGACCGAGGGATTCGTTGCATTCACTTTCTTCGACCACGAGAACATAGAACGCGCTGAGTGCGCGTTGAAGAACCGAGCGACCAAGAAGCTGATGGCTTGGGTTGCCGAGGCGCAGGACACGCTTGCGAACGCGCCGCGTGCGTGGATCGCTGGGGAAGCGAACGTCCTCGCCGATGCCGGCAGCAGGGCGCCATGGCAATCGCGCGTGGGTTCGCACTTGGCTATCCCTGCGTCGTCGGCCCGGCCAGTTCGGGACTTCGTCGAGAAGCCGTTCGCCCACCCGGACGACCTGCCGCAGAAAATCGAGCAGCGAAGACGGGACATGGGATTGGAACCTTGGGCTGCTGCACCGCCAGGCCGCGGAGCACAGCAGCGTGGCGACGCCCAGTTCGGCACGGGGCCATTTGACGGGTGTCCAGCTTCGCCCCCAGAGCCTGCGGAGCCGCCGCCAGCGCCTCGACAACCTCCATGGCTCGCACGCGCGGCTCCCGTCGTGGAGGAGGAGCCGCCGCAGGCGCCAGCTGGCCACCAAGCGCCCCCTCGACCTCCTGGTGGGCACGCCGGGATGGGCGAGGCGCAGCCCGCTACCGCAGCGCCCCTCCGACCGCCTGGCGGGCACGCCGGGGTGGGCGGAGTTCAGGCCGCCGCCGCGGCGCCCCTCCGACCGCCCGGCGGGCGCGCCGGGATGGGCGGAGCGCGGCCGGCCGCCGACGCGCCCCCTCGACTGCCTGGCGGGCGCGCCGGGCCAGGCGAGGTGCAACAGCTTGCCGCGGAAGCGCCTGGCCGCCCTGGCGGTCGCGACGTGCCAGCGCCGTCTACGCCGAGCTCACCGACTACAACGGAGACGCGGCTCTCCGACATCCCCGGGCGCATGGGGGGGCACATGGGCCGCGCGGTTGCGCAGCTCAGGCGGCGCGACCGGGACTTCGTGGACATCGGCGGGGCGTCCGGCAAACATTTCTTGGAGGTGGGGTCCGGCGACGAGATCTTGACGCGGTGTGTCCGCGAGAAGGGCCTCGCGGCGACGGGCCCCGTGGACAAGAAGACCGGCTGGGATTGGACGCGCCGCTCTAGCATGCAGCGTTTGCGCACCATGATCAGGGAAGAGAGGCCCTTCATTGCCCATATCGCTCCCGATTGTAGAATGGCCCTTGCGACTGGCCCAATCCACGGCATCGTGCGACGATGCGTTTCGCAATGGCTTGTGGAGACTTGGCGTTCTACATAATATATTTGAAGCTTTTCGTATCTATTGAAGATCCTTTGGGGGCATGGTTGTACCGTCTCAGGGCGCGCGCACGGATTCACGCGACGCCTGGTTTCTTCTTCGTGGACCTCGACGGGTGCAGGTGCGGCATGGCGGCCACAGCCACGGACACGTTGACCCGGAAGTCTTGGAGATGGTTTACCCATGCGCCTTGGTCATGGTATCTGGCCGCGCGGTGCGCGGGGGGCCACGAGCACGCGAAGGGGGGGGGGGGGCGTCTGGCCGCGGCCACGGCCACGCACCCCTGGCAATTTGGTGTCGCTTACGCCGCGTGCCTCGCTAAGGCCCCGGAGTTCTTGACCGCTCTCCGCGCCGCGCTCGCGCCCTGCCGCCGCCAGAAGCAGGACGTCCAGGTGGTGCGGCGCAGCGCGCTCGACGGCACGCATCCGGATTGGCCCTTGGGCGCGGCCGCTGGCGAGCTCGACGTCTCCAGACGGGCGGCGCCCACGCGCGGAGCAGAACGCTACCGGGGCGCCGACGAGGACGAGATCTACGCACGCCAGCGCGAACACCTCGCCGTCCAAAAGATCCCGGCGACGAAGGTTACATATATGTACGCGCGGGACGGCAGCGAGTTCTACGCCGTTCATTTTCGAGATCCTGTTTTCGACATTCGCGGCGGCGTAGTAAAGCAGACGATGCGTTTTATTGCTTACGGGGAACACCGCCGGGAGATCTCGGGGAAAGGCAGAGCAGCCGGATTTTTTTTCACCGCTTATGCGGCTACGCGCGAAGGTAGTGGACTCGGCAGGTTCGGCCCTGGGATCGCGAAGCCTACGGGGCACCACGGGGGCGCACGGAACGAGTTCGAGGTCTGGGACGTCGACTGCGCGAGCTCTCTCGCGACGCGGCGCCCCGATTTCGTGACATTTGCCCCCGGGGACGTCCATTGTTGGGGCGCCATTGCGGTGCGCGAAGAGCCTGGACTTGCTCGTCGCCGTTGCCTTGGACACCCAGTCGGCGAGCAGGAGCTGTTGCACCCCGAGATCCTTACCTGCGCGGGTGGTTCGACAGGGCGGCTACGGGCGAGTCGCGATGAGATCTTATACGATTTGCGCGACGAGGTGGAGAAGTACGCCGAGGCCCTCACCGAGTCCGCCGACGCGCGCGACGGTTTGCGGTCTGGCCGCCTTTTCGGTTACCGGGCCGGAGTCCTTCTGGAGCCATCGGAGACCTAGGGGAAATTGTTGAACCTGGCTATGCGATATTTCTGGTCAGGAGACAATTGGGCGGACCAGAAGTCAAGCAGGGCCGTCACCGCGTACAGGGACATCAAGCAGCTCGACGTGTCCGCCTGCAAGTGCACCGGTCTCTTGATGTGGGAGTTGGAATCCGGCACCGCTGGCGAGTATCATGTAGGCGACGCTTGGCTGCAAGGCGAATGACGCATCGTGATTTTCGAGCCGGGCCAGCGCGTTGTCTTTCGGAATGCCAACGCGGTCGTCGAGTATACCTGCGAGGACGGCGAAGTTTTCGGTGATCACCGGGAGGCGCTCGAGAGGCTGGGGTTTCCAGTGCTGTCGTCTTTGCGGATCGTCGGATTCAGCGGAGCCTTGACAGCGCTCGCGGGTGACAGGGGCAAAATGTTGACCACGTGCAAAAGCGGGCCAGACGCGAGGGCACGGGCTTTGCCCCTATTCTTTCTGGCCGGGCTGGTCGAAGGCGAGGGCTCGGATGGGTCCACCCTGCCGCTGTGGCACCCGATCGGTGACAACACCTTGATGGGTGAGGTCCGCGTTAAGGCTTCGTTGTGTGCTGATGCGCGGGCGCTCTCACAAGACGAGCTTGAATCTCTTCAGCCGCATGCTTGTCTTACTCTGCTGGATGCGGTCGTGGCCCGAAGGCCCAGGCGATGCCGAGTGCCCCCTACTGGCGGGGCCACGTGGGGCGACGTCAGCTTTCGCGTGGCCCTCTGCTGGGGCGCCGACGAAAACCTGACGTTGGAGAAGTATGAGGTTGGTGGCGCGGCAGCAACGACGTGCGCGACATCGCACCTCGACGTTTACAGCCTCTACGGCGCCACGCTGTTTCTGGGCCCCGGCCAGAGCGCCAGCGGGGGCATCGACTATGTAAACATCACCGGCGAGCCGAACGACATCGACGAGAATGCACTCCGCCAGTTGTCGAAGAGGAGTGGCTTGGATCTGAAGGGCCCTCATCAAGTTCGCGGCGTTCTTGGGCTGTGTCGGTTTACGGGGGATTGCTCCAAGGGTTGGCGTTCCATATGCCTTCTGGGACCCACGAGTGGCACATTGTTGTTCCACTGGGAGCTTGGCGCGCCGTGGAATTTCAGGGGGCGGAGCGTCGACTGTCTTTGTGACGATATGTTTGTCTTGCGGATCACTGCGCGATCACTGGGGCACGCAGATACGGGGACCTAACATTATCAATGATATTGGACAGCGGTCTCTGGTGGCAGCATATGTCGAGTGACGTGAACGCTGTCGTTCGGAATTGTTGGGCGTGCCGGGTGAATAAGAATTCGCCTTTGGTATCTGGCCCCCGACGATCTCGCGACAACGATCTTCCTGACCATCGATTACGTTGGGCCGCAGAACCCTCTGACAGCGACAGGCCACCTGTATTTGTGCACGGCTGTGTGCAATTTCATTGGTTGGTACTGGGCAATTCCTGCGCAGGACGACACCAGCGAGACGGCCGCCAGAACATTGGCGGAGCGGGTGATCATGGACTTGGCCGGGATACCGGTCATAATCAGCAGCGGCCAGGGGCAAGCTTTCGTCCATTCAATCGTTAAGGACTTGGCAAAGACATTTGGCATCGAGCAGAGTCTGGGAACATCTTTTCACGCAAAATCTCAGTCTGCTGTGGAGAGGCCACACAGGGAGTACAACACGTTGGCACGAGCATTCATGAGGGAACGAAGAGACTGGGATACGGTTGCACCAATCTCCCAGCGGTCTGCCCTCACGAGTGCGAAAATCTACAACGCCCAGTGCACCCCCTTACGAAATCATCGCAGGCATGAAGCCGAGGATGCTTTTGGGGTCGACCTTGTCCACGCCGGCATTTGTGAAGCAGATTCCCATCACCGACTGCGTGAAGAAGTTGGTGGAACACGTGCAGAACGTTCGCAAGTTCGCCTTGCAGCAGCGCGATATAGTTCGCCCCCGCCAACGAGAGCTTCAACTCCGTGAACACGGCAGAGGAGATTTCTTAAGAGTGGGGGACTATTCTGATTGCGAGGCCAGCTTCTCAGCAGAGCCGGGATAAGACGAAACACCATGATCATTTGTACCAGATCGTGGAGGTTCTCCGACGAGAGGGCGATGCTCGCGCATACGTCGTGGCAGACGCGGCTACAGGCAAGCGGTCTGATTTGGGGTTCCACAGCCCGGTCAGTGCCGATAGGTAGGTTCCAATCGAAGCGCTGCTGCTGTCAGTGCCAGACGGCGAGACGCGGACGCGCGCGCAGATCCATGGCCGGAGCGGGACCATGGTCAACCAGTGCGTGGATGGGCGTGTCTACTTTCGCTGGGACGACGCTCCTGCAGACGCCGGGCCTGCGCTTATGGACCTCGCGCAGACCAACTACCGCTGGCTGCGCTGAGCGAGCCTGGGCCTGGCGGGCGCGCCCGTTCCAGCAAGCTTCTGGCGGGCGCGCCGGGTAGCAGAGAGTTCCTGGCGGGCGCGCCGGGGCCCGTTGAGCTCCCGGCGGGCGCGCCGGATTGCAGCGAGCTCTTGGCGGGCACGCCGGGCGAACCTCTCCGCAGCAGCTGACTGCCCTTTTGCTGTCCGTAGTGCGCAGGCGTGGTCATGAAACGACGCGGGGACGGGCGTTGTGAAGGACCCGTGGGATCCCGACTTTGGACCCCCGTCTACTTCGCGCGCTGCAGAGTAGCATCAGAGAAGAGAGAAATGGCATGTCGCAGAGCACTTGTTGCACAATGCCCGACTTGTATGTCCGATTTATACCGGACCGCGTTGTATAGTTTATTTATATAGGGGGTGTTCCTAGACTCTGGACCGCCCGCTCTCTGATTCCGAGTGCTGGAGGCCTCGTGCCAACAGCTGCGCGTCGTCAACCGCCGCAGGGAGAGACAGAGAGCAACCGCTGCGGCGCAAGCTCTCGGAGACGTGCACAAAGTGCACTATGAAGGTAACTGCGCTTTAACTATGTTTGGGGCCTCTCTGGAGGCTCTGTATAATATAGTAGTTGCTCGGCATGCGGTAAGTAACGCTCGCGCTTGCCATCCGTGCCTATGTTGGCTCAAGGCTCAAGGCCTGGCGGGCAAGCCAGCCGAGCTAGCGCGCGAGCTCCGCTCGCTTTAGACTCACTGGCCACACTGGTAACCTTTGCATATATATATATATATGTATGTATGTATGTATGTATGTATCACCACGACTGGTAAGAAGGGGGATCGTGGGCCTCGCAAGGGCGAGGAAGAGGCACGCCGTGCCAAGAAGCGCCGCTTCGAGGACTGGCAGCGTGACCACTGCGGCATAGACCTGAGAACATACATCCCTCATCTACCTCGTTGCATTCATTCGTTCGACATCGCAGCTGTTGATTCAGGCAAAGTCCACTCGGAAGATAAGACAGATATCAAAACAGAAGAGGCGGACCCTCCGTCAACATTGCCCTGGCGAGTTGCCTCGTCGTCGTCGTCGTCGTCGTCGTCGTCATTGTCGCATGCGTTCGTCGTCGTCGTCGTCGTCGTTTTCGTCGTCGCCGTCGTTGCCCCCGCCGCCGCCGCCGCCTTCGCGGTCGCCGCCGTCGCCGTCGCCGTCGCCGCTGCCGTCGTCGCCGTCGCCGTCGCCGCCGCCGCGCCGCCCCCCCCCCCCCCCACCACCACGGCGCGCGCGCGCGCTCCGCGGCGGCGGGGGGGGGGGGGCGAGCAGGGGGAGGAGGAGGAGGACGACGACGAGCGCGAGGGCGAACGCGGGGCCGGGGACGAGGGCGAAGAAAAGGAGGGGGAGGCGGCAGGGGGCGACGAGAAGGAGGGGCACTGGGGCAGCTGGATGAGGAGGAGGAGGAGGAGGAGGAGGAGGAGGAGGAGGAGGAGGAGGAGGAGGAGGAGAAGGGGCGCTGGACGCTGGGATGCCGGTTTGGCCTGGCTCCGAAGAGAGACAGGTCCGGGGGGGGGGGGGGGGGGGGGGGGGGGGGGGGGGGGGGGGGGGGGGGCGGACGGGGGGGGGGGGGGGGGGGGGGGGGGGTGGGGGGGGGGGGGGGAGAAGGCGGAGGAAGAGGAGGGAAAAGAGGAGGACGAGGAGGAGGAGGGGGAGGAGGAGGAGGAGGAGGGGGAGGAGGAGGAAGGGGGCGCGACGACGACGACGAAAAGGAGGAGGGGGGGATCGGGAGGGGGGGGGGAGGAGGGGGACGACGAGGAGGAACACGGCGACAATGGGAGGGCGACGATGGAAGGATGAGGGGGGGGGAGGGAGGGCGAGGGAGAAGAGGGGGAGGAGGGCGAGGTGGAGGAAGAGGCCGACGATGACGACGACGACGAGGACGAGGACGAGGACGAGGAAGAGGAGGAGGAGGAGGAGGGGGAGGAGGAGGAGGAGGAGGAGGAGGAGGGGGAGAGCGCCATCGACAGGGAAGGCGGGGGCCACGAGGTCCGCCGGCTCGACGACGCCCGCGTCGCCCGCGCCCGCCCCCTCACTCTTATCCGCAACTGCGGGGTGCTGCGTATTTTATTTAGATGTTGGCGCGCCCTTCCTTCCCGCCCTACCTCGCTCCCTCGTCTCCCTCGCCTCCCTCGCCGCCATCCTTTTCCTCGCATGTTGGGCCGATGTCAGCGGCAATCTTGTTTTTTTCTTCAGAAATCAAGTTGAATGCGGTTTCGACTTTTCTGCGACTCGCGTTGGGCCGATGTTAGGAGTGGTTGTTTTTTTTTTGGATGGCCCCTCAAAAGCGACGTTGAATTCAGGGGCGTCGATTTAATACGCGAACAAAGGACCTATATATTCAGATCCGAAAACTGGAAATGTTTATTTAGATCGTAGAGGTCCAAATAGATCGGAAGTATTTAGATCGCCTATCTAAATAGAGCGGAACAGATTATCGCGGTGCTGCGCCAGAGGCCCGCGCGGCCGAGTTGAATAAACACGTTTTAACCTGCTGCCCTAGACGACTTTTGCCGGGCCGGAAAGACTGCAGGATCGCGTGCGTGGGTTTTCTT